GGGCGCACAGGCTGGGGGCCCAGACCCCGAAGTCCTCCTGACTCGCTGGGAAGCCTTGGGGCGCCGAGCGGGTGTGGGGGGCGATCGAAGTCCCGGAAGGCGCGCTCCTTGGGTTCCTGCGGGGGCGGGCCGGGGTCCTGCATCCCTCCCACCCCTCTCATTGCCCTCCAACCCCCCACGCCTGCCGCCCACCTCCCCAGGTTGCCTCGGGCAGAGGGACCCAGGGACTCTGGAGCAGAAGGAAGCCAGAGGCCCAGTGGCCGCATTGGGTGGCGATGGCATCCCTGCGGAGCTGGGGCTCCTGAGAGGGAAGTCCTTCTCCGCAGATGAAAACTCCTCCCTCGGAACCGCTGTGTTGTTTTCTCTAGGCCCTAAGTCCGCCTGGTCGGACCTCCTTGGGGCCCCGGGGCCCTTATCTAACCGGTCCTCTCCCCTGACTGAGAGCCAGATGCCATGTGTTCCAAACGCTGGCAAGAGTGCACTGCCATCTTCCCAGGCCAGGCTAGACAGCAGGTCCCGAGGCTCTGGATTTGGGGGGAACAAACAAGTCAGGGGGCTTCTTCCCTAGTGGGCCTCATTTGGCCCTGAAAGGATGTGCCAGCAGGTCACCCACAGCACAGGTTTTGGTTAGTTTTCCTCCTGGGGATGAGGAATGGCAGCTGCAGATGCCCCCTGGGACGCTGGCTGGCTCCAGTCTTATTCTCATTTCTCCACCAGTTCTGTCTTCGAAGGACTTTGCAGGACATCCAGGGTCTGGGCTCTTGTCAAAAGCACATTTGAGCCTGGATCCAGTGCTGTGGGTTTGCATAACTCAGAAGTGGCTTGGGCTGCAGGAGGGTGATGCAGCCTCCCATCTCCTTAGCTGTGTCGGGGCCGGGCTCAGTGCTCTCCTTGGCTCTGGAAGCTCCCCGCCTTAAAACCTCACAGCAGCACAGAGCTCCTGCCTGGCCAGTGAGGTGTAAGAGAAGTCCTCCAGGCTTCCTCACCTGCTGACAGGAACCTCTCTACCTTCCTCCTCAATCCCCCGGGTCCTTTTGTCCTGGTGTCTGTGGCCTACCCGGTGGGGAGAACATACTGCATTTCTCCCTGGCTCTCTGCTATTCTTTCACCTCAGACCCAGAAGATGTGCTCTGGGTCCTTGGTGATGTGGCAGTGTCTGTGCCATCACCCCCAAGGACAGGAGTCAAAAGTGAGGCCAGGAGTCATGCTTTCTTTCCAGTGAGTCATCCCTGGGTCTCCTGGCTCTCAGGGGACACCAGCTCCATCATGAGCAGCTTCTGCTACTGCCTGGGAGGGAGCTATGGCCCCTCCAACAGGTTGGAAGCCCCTAGGAATCCAGTGCCCTGATTATCCCTGACAGGCAGCACCATGCTGGGCGATTCCTGGTTGTGGGCACCACACTTAACCCCCTCCAGAGCTGCTCTGGCGGAGGCAGACACTGTAGCCCAGATGACATCTGGGTCCCGGCAGGGGAACACAGGTCAGGAGACATGAAAAGGTGAGGCAGCATCCCTGAACCCTCCTCTTCTAAAGGAGGGCCCTCCTGGACCCGGGAGCGGACCCTGGTGGCCGTGAAGCCAGATGGGGTGCAGCGGCGGCTTGTTGGGGATGTGATCCGGCGTTTTGAGAGGAGGGGCTTCAAGCTGGTGGGGATGAAGATGATTCAGGTACCAGGGCTCTTGGCCTGTGGGTGTCCCTCAGTGCACTAGGGGGAGGGCTTCTTATGGACCTCAGAACCTCGGCCCTTCATGTCAGCCCTGCTCCAGGAGGAGTGTCCTGTTGGAAGTAGAAGGGGAGGGATGGAGAGGTGGAGTTGGTATCTCCTGCACTGCTGTGCTTGACATGCCGGCTCATTAGGTGTTATCTGCAAAGTCATTGCCCCAGTGCCCACTGGGGTTCCCTCTCCAGGGACTCCTCTCACTCCTTCTCCCAATGCCACACAGGCGCCAGAGAGCATCCTTGCTGAGCACTACCACGACCTTCAGAGGAAGCCCTTCTACCCAGCCCTCATCAGCTACATGAGCTCTGGCCCCGTGGTGGCCATGGTATGACCTGGTGGAAGGGGTGGAGGGCCCTGGATTGAGCCTAGAGCTGTCGAGCCCTTGGTGATCCCCCTTCTCCTGACCTTTATCTCTGTGCTGCAGGTCTGGGAAGGCCCCAATGTGGTCTGTACCTCAAGGGCCATGATAGGGCACACGGACTCAGCTGAGGCTGCCCCCGGCACCATTCGAGGCGACTTCAGCTTCCACATCAGCAGGTACAGGGGCCCTGGCACACTCAGCCACAAGCTCATTGTTTTGCTGGGCGAAAGTTAAGCCAGAAGAGACTTTTTTTTTTAATTTAATATATTTTATTGATTTTTTACAGAGAGGAAGGGAGAGAGATAGAGAGCTAGAAACATCAATGAGAGAGAAACATCGATCAGCTGCCTCCTGCACATCTCCTACTGGGGATGTGCCCGCAACCCAGGTACACGCCCTTGACCGGAATCGAACCTGGGACCTTTCAGTCCGCAGGCTGACGCTCTATCCACTGAGCCAAACCGGTTTCGGCCAAGAAGAGACTTTTAATGTGGGATATCACACCTCTTACTTGCTAGTCCCAGGGAGATAAAGTATTCCCTGAGCGTTGTGTATGTACTCCGTCATCATTGTCTGTTTTCTGACTCTATCTTGCCAGATACTCTGAGGGAGGACTGGTGGGAAAATGAGGCTCCCAGTAACAGTCTGGGCTGGTCCATGAGGTTGTGAGTAAGAGGCCAAGGCCAGGCTGGAACCCAGTTTTCTAGCTCCCCTCTTCTTCCTTTCCCCTCTGCATAATCAGCTTGCTCCTCTGGACAGTAGGGAATCAGCAGACTTTTCCCAGGACCTCCCAGGTGCATGTGGAAGCCTGTGCCTTACCTTTGCTACCTATTACCTGGCACAGGAACATCATCCACGCCAGCGACTCCGTGGAGGGGGCCCAGCGGGAGATCCAGCTGTGGTTCCAGAGCAATGAGCTGGTTGACTGGGCAGACGAAGGCCACCGGAGCAGCCTCTACACAGCCTGAACCTCAGGCTGCCCTAGGCTGCCCTCAGCATCCACCCAGGACCAACTACCTCTGTCCACAAGAACTTGATCCCACACTGTGCTCTGCCCATCTGTCCCAGACCACTTCCCTGTTCACTGTCGGCTTCAGCCCAGAGCAGTTGAGCCAACGTTATGTGCCTTTTGGTATCTTAAACCAGCAAGAGATTGGACCAAATCCTTTCCATACCAAAATGCCAGACCACCTTTGGGGGGGTCTCCAAAAGTGGTTTAACCTCCCCTCCCCCACAGGGGAGACATTAAAATTCCTTGTGCTGTGCATGGGAGTGGAGCGCTCATTATGTCGGTGGCTAGGTACTAATGAGGTCTTTACACAAGGTTGTATAAACCAGCAGAGGGTCCATAGAACCTATGACTCAGGCAGAGATCCAGAGACCTCCAACCTGAAATTTGGGGGAATCCAAGCTGGGCCCTGAAGCTGGTGCTGTCCCAACACCAAATCATTCTGATTCCACTGAAGAAGGAGCTTCCTGCCTTGGACAGGACTGGAGGGTGGCAGGAACGGGTGGCTGGGGAGGTAGTGGCTAAGACCACCCTCAGGGCAGAAAGCTTGGTGACCATAACCTCCTCCCTTCTTCATGTGGCCGAGGCTGCCTGGTGTTTACTTGTATTCATGTTGACACTACATCTCACCCCTAGTCCCCAGGTGTCCCTACTCCTCTTGACAGGTACTGGACACCACATCATTACATCTGTTAAGGCTGGCTTGGTCCTTTTTCTTTTTTAAAAAAATGTATTTCTTATTGATTTCAGAGAGGAAGGGAGAGAGAGAAAGATAGAAACATCAGTGATGAGAGGGAATCATTGATTTGCTGCCTCCTGAACCCCCCCTACTGGGGATCGAGCCCGCAACCCAGGCATGTGCCCTTGACTGGAATCGAACCCAGGATCTTTCAGTCCGCAAGCCGACTCTCTATCCGATGAGCCAAACCAGCTAGGACTGGCTTGGTCCTCATTTGATATTTTTTCCTTCTTAAAGTTCTTTTTTAGTTTTTTTTTTTTTTTAGAGATGGGAACATCAATGAGATAGAAACATCAACATTGATGGGCTGTCTCCTCTGCATGCCCCCTATTGGGGATCAAACCAGTGACCTCTTGGTCCATGGGTTGATGCTCAACCACTGAACCACCTGACCGGGCTTTTTTTTCCTTCTTGATGAAGGATGGCCTGGTCCTTGCCCTGACATTTATCGCTCTTGAAACGGGTCATTTTAGGAACTGGCACTGGGCCTGGACAAGTGAAGCAGAGGCCTTCCTGAGGCTTTCCTTGGCCGAAGTCTCCTTCCCTCCTCTTCTTTGATATTTATGCAGCAGGGTAGGCAGGTGTCTGGGAGGCAAGGGCATTTAAACGCTGAGCACTTCCCAACCAGCTACTTTAAATGAACAGCTGGGCCAGCCTGACCTTAACGCGGGAAGGAGTGTCCGCTGTATCCAGCTGGCTCCGACCACGGTACTAACACCCAATCTTGTGGAGAGGACGTAGTCTTGTGGACAGTCTGGAGGCCCACTCACCTGGCCTCGGCCACAGAAATCCGCCTGCTGCACTGCGCTCGCGCCTGCCGCGGTTCTGGGACAGACCAGCCACCCCCATTCTCAGCAGGCGGTGTGGCCACAGTGCTGTAAGATGTCCTAGAAAAAGGGGGGTGGGGGCGGTGGTCCTGGGCGGAGCGAGGGGCCACTGTGCAGAGCGGGCGTCCTGAGAAGAGCGAGGAGGCATCTATGGGTCGGGCGTCCTGGGAGGAGCGAGGGCGCCTGCGGGAGGGGTGGCGGCGGGGGGCGGGACCTCCGTTTCCCCGGACTCTACCGGTGCTCAGAAGTGACGTGGCGAGAGCGCCGCTAGTCCTGGTGGTGGCAGCTGGTGCTCTGATCCGAAGCAGGTCCCTGCTGTCCTCGCTGCCGCGGGTCCGTACCGAGCGCCATGGCCCAGCCGCCGCCCGATGTCAGCGAGGACGACTGCCTCCCGGAGTACCGCTACCTCTTTTGCCCGGACCTGCTCCGGTGAGGGCCTCGTCCTGGTCTGCCGTCGGGAGCGGGGTCAGGAACCGGGGAGTGGGACCCGGGGTTCGGGGCTTCCGAGTGCTCCGGGACTTTGATCTTTGCACTGTGGAGAGCACGTTCTGTTTGGCTTGGCCAGCGCCGGGGGATGTTGCGAATGGCAGTTCTGGGAGGGTGGGAGTGAGGGGCAGGTGGAGGACGGCTTGTATGTTTTGAAAACATTATTCACTGAACTGACAACTTTATGAATAGAGAATTTGAGGCTGAAATAGACCCAGAAAGCCTAGGCATGCAGGCTTTAGCGTTTTATTTTCTTACAAAAATCATCCACGTTATTTGTTATCAGTCTAAATGTGATAGAAGTGCCCAGTTCGTAGGGTTAAAGTCCTCCCAGAGCCACAGCCTTCCCCCACGCCCCAGTTTAGGGAGATATCTTTAAAAAGCCTCGTGTTGTTGTTGTTTTAATTCTTTATTGTTTAAAGTATTACCTAAGTCTCCTTCCCCCCATTGACCTCTCCCTGGCTGTCCCCACCCCCCAAAAAGCCTCGTGTTTTCTTCCCCCAGGGACAAAGTCGCCTTCATCACAGGCGGTGGCTCTGGGATTGGATTCCGGATTGCTGAGATTTTTATGAGGTGAGCACTGCTCTGTTTCACCTGTGCCCACCACCCCATCTCCACTACTGACTCTCACACTTCCTCACACCTTCCCGCTGGATCCTGGGATTCCGGGGCAAGAGGCTGGTGGGTGAGGGAACTCCTCTAGGCAATGAGCCATTTAAGAACATCTGAAAGGGGTCAAGTGCTGTCCTAGGGGAGGCAGGACTCCAGGGCCCTCTCCCAGACCTCAGTGGAGACTGTGTGGCTGTGGTCTGAGCACCCTCATTTGTACAAAGAGGGAGGGTTCAACAGCGTGAGGTAACTCTCTTGCCGAGCCCCCTGGGGCCTGGCTGTGAGCCAGAGTCATGGAGGGCCCAGTTGCATGTGGAACACAGTGTCTCTTGAGACACAAGTTCTATGGCCTCAGGCCCAAATCGAATATTTATCACCCCGACCTGGGGAAGGCCCAGAGTTAGGCTGGGGTTGGGGGAGAGGGAGCCTGTTGATATCCTAGGGACCCTCTCCACTTTCTCCTGGACCCTCACTTTTCATACCAGAGAGGTGAGCCCCCCTGGACAAGATTTTGGGAATCATTCATTCTAGGTGAACTTTTTGCCAAACTGGTGGCTTTGGGCATGTTGCTTCTCTGAACAGAGTATGACTAAGCTGGTCAGGGTCATTTTGAGGAGCAGGTAGAACCTGCTTAGAAGGTGACAGCTGCTATTGTTACTACCAACACTGTGAGGAGGTGACACTGTTGTAATATACCCTGCGAATCACACAAGGACGCCTCAAGAAGTCAAATTAAAGAGTCACATTTATTGCAAATCCGGGACTATGAGGGGGCATTTCCCAAATCTCATAGTGATAAGATGGCCGCAACACCAGACTTATATAGGCAAAGATCACAAAGGTATAGATTACATCCCAAGGTTTGGAATGAGGAACCTGGTTTGCAAAAAAGCAGTTTACAGAAGCAGAAGCAGCATGTTATCTAAATTATAGTTTTGGGTCTCCAGATCACTGAATTGACAGAAACACATTATCTAGAGCCCTCGGGTCTTGGGACCACTGAGTCAACAGAGACAGTTATCTGGAGCCCTCTGACCTTGGGATGATTGTGCTGTCCTTCCCAGGTAAAGGAAAATGTGCTTTCTAAGATCAGTATGACCACAACCAATGGGATTTCACATTACAATCAATAGGGTATTTAATCAAATGGGGTGATTTATATAATTCAGAAAACTAAAATAACTTTTCTATTATTTCAGTAAACAAATAAGTACAGAAACCAAACAGCAGGGTTAAAGTCCTCTCTGTAAAAAATCAATAAAATATATTAAAAACAAAACAAAACAAAAAAACACACAAATAAGTACAGAACCAAACAGCAGGGTTAAAGTTAAACTGTAGTTTCTACCTGAGATGATTGCTACCATACTTCAACACAGGGCAGGTGCCCTGACCTCAGAATGGGCTTTCTGTCCATTTCTCCAACATCACAGGGAGAGAGGACAGGGGCACGTGGGGCCATGCCAGGGGGACCCAGAAGGCCTCATGCAAATGCTTGGGCCCCCACTTGATGTTCACAGCTGCTTTGGTGCTGTGCACATGGAGTTTGGGGCAGGGCCTGTATCCTGATGCCGGAGAGGCCAGCCCAGAAATGCTGGGAGTGGGACTAATGGCAGCCATCTAAAGTCTCACCACAGTGGCTTAGCTGTGTTCAGACCCCTGTGTCCTCTGACAGCTGTACCTTCAACATTGGGCTGGTGTTTCAGCCCAAGAGACCCTTGGGGGAAGGGGGCTCTGCTTAGAGCTCTGGGCAGGAGCCCATCTGGATTTATCTCTTGCACTTGCCACCCTCACTCCTGCCCTCTGGCTTTGCAGGCACGGCTGCCACACGGTCATTGCCAGCAGAAGTTTTCCGAGAGTATCAATGGTAAGGTGTCTCTACTATGCCTACCCCATCCATGGGTGGCTGTGGAGACCCAGAGCCTGGACCTGGAGGGTCCTGAGGCCCAGAGGATGTTGACTCCAAAAGCTGCTCCTCTTCTAAATATCAAGCTTCGGTGGAGGTTGTCTCCCAGGAAAACACCTGGCTTTTAAAAACATTTAATTATTGGGTCCTGTGAGGGACCCTCATGCTGAGTGGTACTGATGCTAGGAGAGATCTCTGAGCTCAGCTGGGTTATAATAGCGGTCCACATGTCCTACCCACCCAGGAGGAAAGTCTCACCCCTGCCACAGTGGGTCTCTGGGCAGGGACTGGAAGTCCGCTAGAGCTGCCACTGACCCGTGACCAGTGGCCTGGAAGGTGATGTGGAGGGAGGAGTGTTGAATTTCTTAGAAATGTCCACGAGGGGTTGTGGACCCAGGGAATGGCTACCTGCCAGCTGCATCTCTCAAGAGTGGAGTCCAGCAGCAAACCCTGGCTTCCCAGCAGAACCTGGACACATCCTCCTTGGATGCTGAAGGGCTGTTCTCTCTAGGCTGAGGCCACTTGGCCGATGCCCACCTCTTCTCTCCCTTCCTGTCTGGCTTCTAGGCTGCCAGAAAGCTGGCTGCAGCCACTGGCCAGCGATGCCTCCCTTTGTCTATGGATGTCCGAGATCCCCCAGCCATTGTGGCTGCCGTGGACCAGGCACTGAAGGAGTTTGGAAAAATCGACATTCTCATAAACTGTGAGTCACTGTTAAGCTAGGCCAGGGGTTTTCTGATGAGTCAGCGATACTAGACCTTCCTTCTTGGAAGTCCCAGAACTTTTATCCCGGGCTCCAGGCCACTGTCTTTGTCCAACTCTGTTCCTTCCAAGTCATTCCAGTGTGAACTTGGCTGAATCAGAGTCAGAGGCGATCTCAAGCCTCCTTCCCTGTCCAGCTTGTGCCATCCTGAAGTCTGTATGCTCTAACTGCCCAGGGCTCCTGCACCATCCGTGTCTCCTTCCATCCTGCAGGTGCAGCCGGAAACTTCCTGTGCCCAGCCAGCTCATTGTCCTTCAATGCCTTCAAGACTGTGATGGACATCGATACCTTGGGCACATTTAATGTGTCTCACGTGATCTACAAGAAGTTCTTCCGGGTGAGTGTTCTCTGGTCGGAACCTCCCCTCTTCTGGTGGTCTGCTTGCTGACAAGCGCCCCCCTCACACCTCCCTCCCCCTGGTCTCCGCCATGTGTTGCAGGACCATGGAGGAGTAATCGTGAACATCACCGCAACCCTGGGTACCCGGGGGCAGGTGCTCCAAGTGCACGCAGGCTCTGCCAAGGCGGCCGTGGGTATGGCACCCCTTCTGGTCTGCTCTCCTGGGTTCCTTAGGGTCCCTCTCCTGCCTGTCCCTGGAGGCCAACAGTGTCTGAGTGGGCAGTGGAGAGGCCCAGGCCTGGCCCTGAGCCCCCGCTTCAACCCAGGCCACCCCAGAAGTCCAAGCAGCCCTGCATTCTCCCTCATGCCTGCCTGCCTTCCTTCCATGCAGATGCAATGACGCGGCACTTGGCTGTGGAGTGGGGTCCGCAGAACATTCGAGTCAACAGCCTTGCCCCCGGCCCTATCAGTGGCACGGAGGGGATGCGGCGGCTAGGTAAGGCTCTCAGGAAGCCCAGGCCCTCTTGGGTGCTCCCCTAGGTACAGGCTCCACAGTGCCTCCCTGGGCTCCCCTCTCACCTGGCTGGGACAAGTGCCAAATTTTCATGACTCCCTGGGGCTGGCAAGGAGCCATTTGTGGTTAGCACACAGCTGCAATGGACTAAGGATTAACCAGACTTGGGAAGCCGCTCCCTTGAGGTTGAGGCCACAGGGCTACTGACCTTGATGTTTGAGTCAGAACCAAAGTGGGGCTTCCATTGAAGCTTCCAGAACCTTGGCAGGGTGTCCATCAAAAAGCCCTATGCCGGTTCTTTGGCAGTGTTACTCGGTACCTGGCCTGTCCCCGCTCTGCGAGGATGGTGCTAATAGTGCCCACAACGTTCTCGGATGTGGTTTAGAGAAGGCTGGGCCGGGGCGGGTGGAGGGCCTTGAGGTCCTGTGGCTCACAGGGTTTGACCTCCCAGGTGGTCCCCACGCCAGCAAGATCCTGGCCAGCCCCCTGCAGAGGCTGGGGAACAAGACGGAGATCGCCCACAGTGTACTCTACCTGGCCAGCCCTTTGGCATCCTACGTGACAGGGGCCTTGCTGGTGGTTGATGGCGGGGCGTGGCTGACGTTCCCTAATGACTTGAAGCTGCTGGCGGATTTTGCATCCTTCTCTGCTAAGCTCTAGGTGATGTGCCACTCCCACCTTCTGGGTGTCATTTGTGTTCATGGCCCTTTCCCAAGGCCCCACCCTGTGGGCTTTTGGTCACTGTTTGGGCCCTGATACGTTTTCACTCAATTCCTTGGGCATCTTTCTAGACATGTTCTTGGGCATGTTTGGGCTTCCACTACTCCAACAGACCAGGCCATATGTAGGTCAAGCTGGGGAGGGGTCTTCTTGGGTGGTATTTGGAGGGGGCCCAGCCCAATGAAGCTCTACCCCAGATCTCAGGGCCTTTCTGCAAACCAGGGTGGGCATGGCTTGCCTGGCAGACGGGAATTCTCTCTCTCTCTGGGAGTGCCCCTCGGTGACACTCTCTGGAGGCCTGAGGGCTGTCTGAGCCCATGCAAGGGTGCCATTGCTCTCTGCCTCCCCCTCTCCCCCAATCCCTGTGGTGTGGCTGGTCCATGAGGCCTGCTTATCCTGGTTCTCTGAGCAGCAGCTTCCTCTGAGGAAGGCTGAGGCCCAACCCATGCCTCTGAACACCTATGCTCATCAAACCTCCTGGGTCATAATCACAGGGTGGTGGTAGAATGTCCTAGACTTTGGCTGTTTCCTGTCCCATCTGAGGGGGTGTGTATGGTGAAGGGATAGCCCAGGCGTTCACGGTTCAGTCACACTGTGAGGCCAAGTTTGGAGCAGGCTTCTGCGATGACCCCCACCATCCTTCCTGGAGGCGGGTTTGTGAGCACAGTGATGTTGAGAAGCCCCTCTTCTGAGGCCCTCTGTGCTTTGGTTGCCATCAGCCATGTTCTGAAGTGCCCGTGAGCGACCAGGCAGCTGGAGTGGGTGCTGGGAGAAGTCTGGGCTGGGAAACCATCCACTGGGGTGAGGAGCACTCATCTAGGGGAGTTCTGGGAGGGCAGAAGGGGACTGCTGGTGTCTGCCCCCCAGGGGATTCACAAGGCTTAGCTGCCCACTGCTGTCTCCCGGTCACTTGTGGGTGCTGCCCAGATGGCAGATACAGTTTCCTAGGCTGTGCAGTCCTCTGGTGCGCTTCAGTCCTCTGTGACCTTGGTGTCTGCTGGCATTTCTGACAGGAGCTGGACAGCTGAAGCGAAGAAGGCAGCTGAAGGGGAGGCTGGTTCACAACCCACTCTTGGATTCCTGGGACCTGCCTCTCACGCAGCTGAGAACTCCAAACCAACCACCCCAGCAGAGCAGCTGAAGCAGAGACTAACCCCTCCTCTGAGGGCCATTCTGTGTTCCCATCCCCTTCCCATGGCCCATCTCCTGTGCATGGGCAGGAGTGACCAGGCAGTGAGCCCAGCCTGCTGACCTGCCCGCACCACACAGATATCTGTCAAGGGGTGATTGGCATTCCAGAGCTCCCTCAAGAGTGGAGATGCAGACCAGTTGCTGGGGTACACCCCTCCCCCCTGACCTAGGGTTAGGGGCTATCCTGCCCCGCCTAGTCCCAGCCTGGGCTGGCCGCCTCCAGCCTGTTTCCTGTCCCATCTGAGGGGGTGTGTATGTGAAGGGATAACCCAGGAGTTCACAGGTCAGTCACACTGTGAAGCCAAGTTTGGAGCAGGCTTCTGGGATGACCGCCCCCACCATCCTTCCTGGAGACAGTTGGATGCCTCAAGGTTCAAGCCCCTCAGAACTGTAGGTCGGCCCTCTGGTTAGGCACACACAGTTCTATCCTTCCTTGTTGGTACACCAATTTGTATAAGCACAGATCCTAGAGCTTTGCCAGAAAATACATTTCCTTAAAGAATAATATTTTTTATTGTAAAACATCTATTCATTGGATTTTGCAAAATTTTTTAGAAGGAAAAGGAAGATACTTGAAAAGAATCACTGTGATCCAGTCATTTAATGTTTCCTTCCTATCTTTTTCCTGTGAAGAGTTTAGAAAATGCTTCCTATCTAATGCTTGAACACCCTGCAAGGTCCCCCTTTGCTCTTGGTCGGTTCCTACTGCCATTAGGGGGCTGAGTGTGAGCTCTGTGCCCCAGAGGACCATGCTCACTTGTCCCTTGTTCAAGTCCCTTCATTCTATGAAAGGAGACCACCTCTCCTCAACATGTGCAAGGGAGTGGCAGGGAAACCCCATGGCCATCCCAGCTGGGAGGCCACCTGGCAGAGGGAGCACCTTTTGCTATTTAAAGGTGCTCCCTGTTGTCAGGGAGACCAAAATGTGGTGCATCAAGTTCACCAGCAAGACAGAATGGGCCCTCACTGGTTTGGCTTAGTGGATAGAGCGTCGGCCTACGGACTGAAGGGTCCCGGTTCGATTCCAGTCAAGGGCACATACCCGGGTTGCGGGCTCTATCCCCAGTAGAGGACGTGCAGGAGGCAGCCAATCAATGTTTCTCTCTCATTGTTGATTCTTTCTCCCCTCTCCCTTCCTCTCTGAAATCAATAAAAATACATTAGAAAAAAAAAAGACAGAGGGGTCCTTATGATACTGCTGGGGGGACAAGACAAAAGAATGAAAGCAGCTACTGGGGAGACCTGGCCAGTGAGAGGCAGAGGCAATCCTGAGGACCCCTCTCCCTATGCCAGCGAGCCTGGGCCTGCTGTCCTTCCTGAGGAGTAGGCCCCGGGGATGGCCTGAGGGGGAGGGTGTCCCACCATGGATGACGAGGCTCTGCTGCTTTTGAAGGTTGGGATGCATATTGAGGTGCAGGTTCCAGGGGCAAGCCTTTTATTACTGTACTAGAGGCCTGTTGCACGAAAAGATTCGTGCAATAGGCCTTCCCTTTCCCTGGCTGCCTGCACCGGTTTTCCTCTGGCACCGGGACCCAGGCCTTTGCTCTGGCCGGAGCCACCTTCAAGCCTTCGCTGCCCCGCCCGGCCGCCCCGGGTCGGGTCGCACACGGGACGCCCACCGCCCCAGGTCGCAGATAGCAGGCCTGGATGGTGGCAGGGCAGGCGGGATGGCGCTGTCCCACCCTGCCTGCAGTATGCAAATTAGCCGCCATCTTTGTTGGCAGTTAATTTGCATATCGTGCTGATTAGCCCATGGGAGGTGTAGCGAAGGTATGGTCAATTACCATGTTTGTCTATTATTAGATAGGATTAGGGTGCTCCAGAAACAGAACCAATAGAATGTATATAGATATATATGGAATTTATTAGGAGGATTAAATAGGAGGTCAAGAAATCCCATGATTTGCAAGCTGGAGACTCAGGAGAGCCAATGGTGTAATTCAGTCAGAGTCAAAGGCCTAAAAACTAGGAGCTCTGATGGCCAAGGGCAGAAGAGAGAATTCTGCCATCAGTGGATTGGATGAGGTGATGCCGCCCACATTGGTGAGGGTGGATCTTCCCTCAGTCTACTGTGCTAATCTCTTCTAGAGACACCCAACTATCTGGGCATCCCTTAGTGCAGTCAAGTTGACACATAACATTGATCATCACAGGTGCATACAGTAAAGTCTGTCTCCACACTCCATCTCCTGCACATGCTGGTCAGTTTGGTTATGAGAAATCAGCCTCTGGCGTAGTCTACCAGCCCAGGCTGTCATCCTGTACGTATGGGATGACCACGGGGGGCTCATGGGTCATAAGCATGTCCAGCAGGCATCACTCACTGGGTGGTGAGGCTGGTGAGTCCCAGGAGCAAGCTGGCGAGGAGGGCCAGGTGCACAGGGTGTGGCATCAGTCCCAGCAGTGGCACTTGGGCTCAGTGGCAACTGGCAAAGAACTAGGTTATCCCCTTTCACATTCATCTCAAAAATGCCCCTAGAAAATGCCAGGTTTTCTGAAAAGAAGGATAATTTTTTTATATGTGAACCCTAGTCAGAGTTTTCTTCAACCTTAGCCTTGGAAGCTGGTTTACAGCCCTGCCAACTTGGCTCCCCCTTCGATGGGGCGAGGGTGTTTATCATCCTTTCAAAACTATACATAAAACATCAGCCAAGGCAGAGGACTGCCCCCCACAAAGAAGCTCCCACTTGGGGTACGGCCCTGCAGCCCTTTTTCCGTATCTTCATCTTCTCAGGGAGCAGATGGACATGTTGGAAAGCATTGTACACTGTATTTGTTGAATGAATAAATGAACGGCCCACTATGTTGTTGTGAATCACGCAGGTTATTCCTATAAATGCTATGGGATGTTGCTATAATGCAATGACTATCTGGGCTCATTCATCTTTATATCTACAGAAAGCAAAGAAAATCTTAAAGTTGCCTTAAATAACCGGTGCTAATTTGAGGTCATTTCTCTCTGCTGACTCTTGTTCCCATGGTAACTTGGTTGAATTAGACTGGCTTGCATGTGCTAGCTTTATCCTTCGGGTCATCTCTGGAGGACCTGGAGGCTAGACACCTAGCACTAATGGTGGTTTCCCAAATGCCACATTGTTTTCTCAGTTGCTGAGCTGTCATACCCTCCATACCTCCTTCTGTCTTCCTGTCCCCTTTCCTTCTATGTGCACTGAGCCCGTACTTTGCCCAGCACCCTGGCTGGGAACCCAGACAGGACTCTGACCCTCCTGGACTTCCCTGCTTTCTGTCCACACTGAGAGAAGCGGGAAGAGAGACATGAGACATCCCTGAGAACCTCAACAATTTGAAGGTCAGCGGATGTTCCTCTGTCCTCATCCTATGGGTCAGTCAAGTCAAGCCCCCACCCTTGGCTGCAAGTTCAGGTGAGCATCTTTTGTTCCCTGGGTCTGCCCAGTGTTTCAGCTAGGCAGCGATGTCCTCTTGCGCAGGGCAGATGGGCTCTCTGGGCTCAGGGCTCCCCATGTTGGGAAGCGGGCTGGGCATGGGCCCCTTGGGCATGTCCCTCAGGATACTTACGTTAGTTGCTGATGGATGCATGCGGCAGAAAACTATTCTGGCTGTTTAGAGCCAAAGAGGGAATGTATGGGGAAGATCCTGGCTCCAAGGATAGGATGCACTGGAGCTCCAGGATAAAGCTTGGACCCAGGGCTCTGGGGTCCCTTTTTTCTCTCACCTTCACCTGGCCCTGTGAGCCAGCAGCTTCCCCTCCCTGCACATCAGCTGTCTCCATGTCTTGGTCCCATTGCCATGGGTATACTCTGTAATCCAGCTCCTTGAAGAGAGACGCAGAGTTCCTGAAGAAATGTGCACGGTCATTCGGTCTGGGTCAGGTGTCCGGCTCTTGTTCATTAAACCCTGGCCAAGGATTGCCCACATCATACAAACATGGCAACTCCCACTATAGTCATGGATTTGATTGGACAAGGGCTGCTTTTAGAAAATGTGTGTGATAGCAGACCATCTAGTGTACTAATAGGTCCTAAGTCACACCAAACAAACTCACTAAAGACCAATGTGTAGGCCCTGGCTGGGTAGCTCGGTTGTTTAGAGCAGCGGTCGCCAACCGGTGGTCCACGGACCACGGGTGGTCCGTGTGGTCCGAAAGGTTGGCAATCGCTGGTTTAGAGCATTGTCCCAATGCCAAGGCCGTAGGTTCGATCTCCAGTTAGGGCACATACAAGAATGTGGCTTGTGTAGCTCAGTGGTTGGAGCGTCAAATGGCTCCAAGGGTCGTGTGTTCCATTCCTGGCCAGGGGCATGTGCCTGGGTTTCAGGTTCGATCCCCAACCATGTAGGGGGCAACTTGTTGATGTATCTCACATCGATGTTTCTCTCTCTCTGTCTCTCCCCCTTTCTCCCTCCTTTCTACTCTCTTTGAAAATCAATGGAAGTATATCCTCAGTTGAAGATTACCAAAAATAAATAAAATAAAATAAAATAAAATAGAAATCCACCAATTAATGCATAAATAAATGGAACAGATTGATGTTTCTCTCTTGCAATAAATTAAGAAAACAAATTTACGTGTAGCCCCTTAAGCTGATAGTGTGTGTGAGTCTGTGTGTGTGTGTGTGTGTGTGTATGTGTGTGTGTGTGTATGTGTGTGTGTGTGTGTGTGTGTGTCTGTGTGTGTGTGTGTATTCCTTTTCAGTGATTGGATGAGTCTCAGGTCTCCCTCTCTGGTGAAACCCAAAGGCCACTTGGGAGATGGCAGAGGTTGCCTAAGTCGGATGATCTACACAGGCTTCCCACTTATATCTGGGGCCAGGACTTTGCCCAACTCAGCTCTTCTGTGCTCGGGACCATGGTGGAGACTGGATCCTTCTTTGGACTTCTGTTTTTCTTGCTTATGCCAATGGAACCCTTGAGCGAAACAGCCCCCAAAGACAGGGCATTGCTGCTTTCCTATTTAACACTGGGTTCTGGTTCAGGTGCCTGGAATGAGACCTACATCACCTTGTCAGCAGGCAGAGGTGTATAGGGCTCTTTAGTCTTTACTTACTGGCTATCTCTTGCATTATTTTCTCAGGTGACAAACATAATCAGTATGGGTTTCACGAACTGAACTCTCAGAGGATAACATTATCTTCAGGGCTGGGAGCTTTTTGGAGTACTCATCACATCCATTAGTCAGAGTATCTCGATAAGACATTACTTGGCAGGTGTCCGTTGAAGAAGGAATGATAAATACGCAGAACTCAGAATTAACTTTTAACTCTTCCACCCTCACATGTCATTTGGACAATTTTTACACAATGGAAAGAAAATGATGTGGATTCGCTCTTCACCTCTTTGGAAAATGTGACCTGAGGCTAAAAAAAGGAAGTTCTGAATCCACATACAAACTTCTCACTGCCCCTCAGTGCGGTTCCCCCAGTTGTGATTTTGGCTGTAGGAGAGATGAGGTGGGTGCAAAAGGTGGGCTATGAAGCGCTCTGGGCACAGTGGGGATTAGAGATGCTGTCTTCACAGGAAGATGGGAGCAGGTGCAAGCAACGTCAGAGTGAAATAGATGGTAAAATAGGAAAACCATCCAAACGTTGATTGAGTCAGGAGGGACTATACTGTGCCGTTCAAACTCATTTTATTTTTTAAGAAATGTACTTTACTAAATTTGAAGGTGAGAAAAAAGCCTATCCCACTGAATAAAATATCAGTAAACACGAGTGTGGATCTGTACTCTCAACTGCTGGAGGCTACAGGGGGAGTGTGATCTAGATCTATAATTGACTTCTCTTTACAAAATTCGAATCTTGTTTCCAAAATTGCAAAATAAAAATATTTGGCTGGTGCCTGACCAGAGTGGCTCAGGTGGTTGAGCATCGTCCTGGACACTGAAAGGTTGCTAGTTCGATTCCCAGTTCAGAGCACGTACCTGGGTTGCAGGTTCGATCCCCAGTTGGGGCACATCTGGAAGGCAACCCATGGATGTTTCTCTCTCACATTGATGTTTCTCTCTCTCTCCATTCTTCTCTCTAAGGATGTCCTTAGAGAGGA